GTGGGAGGGGCTGCAGACCATGTGATCAGAACTGGGCTTGTTCAGGACTCAGACTCTACTTTAGAAACAGTGTTTGCTTTAGACTTCAGTAGAGAAGTATGTTTTAGACTTTAGTGTGAATGGTATGCTTAGAGACTTCAGTAGAAACAGATGTATGACTACAGAATCTCAGAGCAGAATCTCAGAGCAGAGAGATGCTTTGGAGTTTGGATTGTTAATTATAAGAAATGATGCTCTATTTTATCTACACAGAAAAACTACTTAAATTTAGACTGAGAAGCAAAGTACCTGTAAGCTGAGTACATGAAGTTTGTGAGTAAATCAACTATGTTACTTTTAAAGAAGTCTACTTATTTTTGTCTCTTGAGAGCATGATTTAAAGGCAAATATATTTTAAGGGAGAGTAGATGTCTTTTGGACAACTGAAAGAACACTTCTTTTATGTTTTGTGCATTGGCATATCTTTGTCCCTAACAGTTCAAAGAGATATTTAGGACATCAGTTTAATAGCCTTGCATGAATGCCATTTTTCCATAAGGTTATGACTCTACAGGTCACGCTTTTTACCAAGAGGTTATGGCATCATTTTTCAAATGGTTATGACTTCTAAATCAATAATGCCTTTCTAAATATCATAAAATATCCAAAAGGTTATGGAGATTTCCATTTTCCAAAACTCTGGCCTATCAAAACTTCATTTGGATGGGCCAGAGAAGTTCATATACGGTTCCAGCCCAAGATACCTAACTGACCGCCTCTCGGCCTATGAGCCCACGAGGACTTTGAGATCTTCCGGGAAGGCCCTGCTCTCGATCCCGCCTGCGTCACGGGCGCAGCTGGCAGGGACGAGAGATAGGGCCTTCTCGGTGGTGGCTCCTCGGCTGTGGAACACCCTTCCCGTGGACATCAGGCTAGCCCCCTCCCTTCCGCAGGAAGTTAAAGACCTGGCTATTTAAGAAGGCATTTGATCAAGAAGTGCAATGACTGGTAATTTGACCATAGGAATGGAACAACGGAAATGATATCGGATTGWGRGTTTGACGATGAGAYGACTCGGAATGGCTTTGTAGYAATGTTGATGTTTTGATGAGATGTTTTCTGATAATGTTGAATTGTGGATTATTTTACACTATGTTTTGTATTTTGCACCTGTTTTTCTATGTTGTACAATGAGTCGCCCTTGGGCTGAGAATTGCGGTATATAAGCGCAGTAAATAAATAAATAATAAATAAATAAATATAGAGATTCAGGATGAGCTGCAATGACAACTGCATCCATGGACCAAGTGCAAGCTCCACAGGTAATACATAGTTCTTTTCATTTTTATGAAACCATTCTTCAATATCTTCCAACATTTTACAGGTGATAAATGGAGCTTGTGACCAAACAAAACCAGCATGTGGACAAAATGGCAAAGAGGAAGAGCAAACAAGCCATTTGCTTTTGCCTGAGCCTATTAAGAAAAACAAAATTCCTGCCCCGCTTCTCTTCTCCCCTCTGCTAAGCTAATTGAGAGCAAACTATATTTGCTCTTTGTAATTCTTTTGTGGTAGTTGAAGTAAGCTACTGTCAAAGGGGAGGAATGGAAAGAGAAAGAGACAGGGATAGTTTGAAAGCAGCTGAAAAAGTGAGATGACAGAGGATTAATCAGGATTGTCCGTACCAAATTGGGACAGTTGTGGGATTTGCCCTTCATCTGAAAACAATTTCAAGGCAGTCTACACAACGTTTTCTACAAGGAAAATATACATATAATAAAATGTGCAACTACAAATGAAGAGATGTTAAAAACTCTTTGCAGCAAACTATGAAATAAGTAAGGAAATGGCAACTTCAAATTCAAGTTTAAGGTTTTAAAGCTGCCTGGATACAGAAATGTATTTTTATTTTCCCATTATGAAAACAGGAACCACAACAATGTTCCTTTTAGAAAGAACTCCAAAATCAGGGAGGAGAGTCCACAAAGAAGATGCAAAGGGTTTATAAAGCCTGATTGTATATTTTTAGAAACAATGCACATTCCACTGAATAGAGGAGAGCTCAAGGTAATCTTGTTTCTCTTCTCTCTAAAAAGAGTCTTCAGAAAATATCCATTTTTGGTCCATAATCCCAATCTAAAGGGGACAAGCGAGTTACAAAACCACTGGAGGAATTGAAGCTAACTTTTTAAAAAACAACAATTTCAAATTCTTGAATTATAATATTCTAAGTTTTTAATATTTGGGAGACAAGCTCCAAGTCTTCTCTTTGCAAGGAAATGTATTTGCTAAAATGTGTAAAGATATGTAATGCCACCACTTGAAAATCCAAAGGACTTAGATTTGAGTTCTTAATCTTCCTGTCTTTGCCTCCTGTACAACTGTTTTGCCAATGGTGAACATAACACCAATTCATGCAGTATTAACTGTGATTCAGATTAAATTACTAATCTCAGGACTTTCAAGAAATGTTGACCCACCATGCTCTAAAACAGATGGGCTGGACTACAACTTAAATACTTCCCAGACATTGTTCATGCTGGTTGGCGAGCAATACATCTAAGAGCTTCCAGGTGGGGATGCTCTTTTCTCTTTCTTTCTCTTTGTTTTTTAATGACAAGTTGTGAGCAGTTGTGGTTGAACTGGCAACCCTACAAATAATACATTTAATTTGGAATTGTTCATTGAGATCAGATTTAGAAGGCTTGTTTCAGCAAAAAGCAATTACAGTGGTGGGGAAAGAAGGGAGAAGACCTTTTTGATGGTGGCCACATGATTTGGGGGTTCTACTGAACTGAAACAACGTTTTGTTTCATCAGTTCAGGCCTTCAAGCAACATCCAAAGTCTCGTCTGTTTTGCTTTTTCACAGTCATCCATTCTACCAATGTAAAGCCAATTCTACACTGGCTTTACATTGGTTGGATATGGCTTTAACAATTTTGCTAACCCGAGTTTGTAGCCTGGATTGTTAATTTTATTGCTTCAGCCTGCATTAACAGAAGCAGTTTCCAATTTGAGGGAAATAACAATTTCACTATTTCATGTACTAGTTAGATCTCATCTAAGTATAGTATTCAGTTCTGGTTGCCATATTTTAAACAGGATCTAGACAAGTTGGAGCAAGGCCAAAGAAGGGCAATGAGGATAAAGAGGTAAGGGAAACCAAATTTAGGAGGAAAGGTTGAAGGAGCTGGGCATATACGGCTTGGTGAAGAGAAGACTGAGAGGCAACAGTATTGTGCTCTGTAAATATCTCAAAGGCTGCCACGAAGAGGAAAGGTCAGGTTTGTTTTCTGTTGCCCCAGAGGGTAGGACCAGGTGTACAGAACAGTCGAGCACAATTAAATCTTAGAAGGAACTTCTTGATAGTAAGAGCAGTTCAGCAATTGAGCCAATTACCCAAAGAGGTCATAGATTTTCGTTTTCTGGTTGCCCGCAAAAAAGAGGTTGCATAGCTGCCTCATGGGGATGCTTTAGGCCAGACCTGTACAACATACGGCCCACAGGCTGGATGCAACCCACAAAGGCCTTGTGTAGCCCAGGTCCCTCCCCAGCCTCTCACCATTTCCCTGGGAATGGTGCAAGAGTGGGTAAGGAACGGGACTTCCCTTTTCACAGGGAGAGAGGAGGGGAGACCCACTAAAGAGGTCTGGGGGTAATATTGGCCCTTTACAAGGGTCAAGTTGTGTAGATCTGCTTTAGTTGAAGATCCTACATAAATCAGGGAGCTGGACTAAATGGGTCATGAGAACCTTCCAACACATGATTATACATCTCTAATCACTAAATGTCATCATGAATACCTTAATGACTGCCAGATTCTACTGAAGGGTTATCATGATTTGGTGCATTCATAGATACATTTAAGGATTTTTTAAAATTACATTTGTATGACAATTAAGATCTCCAGGTGATTCACAAAACAGAAGTCTATGATGTATTGAATTGCATATGCTGGAAGTTGCCACGTGAAGGCATAGTGCTGAAATGAGCCTGATCCCAGCTTTGACTGTTATCTCAGCCTTAATGTTTTAAGATGTAGTTTTTGATTGTGTTATGTTTATATTTGATTGATTTTAATGCTGCTTTTATCTGTAATGTGGGCTTGCCCCCTTGTAAGCCGCCCCGAGTCCCTTCGAGGAGATGGTGGTGGGGTATAAAAATAAAGTTATGTTATTATATTATTATTAAATGGGGCCCAGTTAATTATGTAAGTTTACAGCCCATTTCTACATGTTTACCCAGAAGTAAGTTCAGTATTACTTACTTCAAAGTAAATTGCATAAAAGTAATGTCTTTATGTTCCTATTCTGTGTACACATTTTGGGCCAGGCATCTTATCTGCAAGATGTTTACAAAACGTAAATTCCAGGCAACTCGGCAGCTCAGATTTAGCAAAGCCGATCCAAATTTGCCAAGCAGCCAAGTCCCTACAAAGAGCTTTTCCTTGATCTCACATTTCCAGTTTTGTGCAAGGCTAATTAAATGAAGGGGAAATTGATTATAACGGAGCCAAAGTCAGAAAATTCAGTTACAAAGGACAAATGTGTCTCATTATTCAGAGCAGAACACACAGCAGGTTTGCCTATGTCAACACTAAGCAGGTTTTTTTATTGCAAGGGTGCCACAACATTATGAAATAATGCTATTCATATGTAGACTACAGTATGTCTTCAATCTTCTTTTCTTGCTTTTCTATTGGGCCAGAACACAGACTATGAAACAAGAATTTAGCAAATTTAAGCATGAATCTACTTAACATCATAGCCAGGTTCATAACTGTTTCAGGTTACTTCCAATGCTTGATCCATTTCTTCTGGCCACCCATGAAATCTACAACACAATGTCTACCTTTTTTATTTTTCATACACATGGTGGAAAATACCACGATTCTCGCATGAAAATCACAACACATGTCATCCCTCCAGTAGCACTGCTTTGTATATAACAGTCTACCTGTACCTCGCATGCACTTGCACCCATGGATAATAGCCCAACTGCAGCCAACAGCAAAGCTTACCTGAAGAAGGTTCATCCATTGAGAAGGCTTTGTTCTCCACAAACATGCTCTGGGACTTTTGTTCCTTGAGAATTGTCTCATATCCAACACCTCGAGTGGGGTAGACATCATCCTCATAAACCTGCTCTGGTCCTGGCCTGATCACTTGAGAAATCTCAGGGATGACATAAAAGAAAACGAAGACACAGGCATTGGAGACAAGAGCAATCGCCATTGTGGGATCATCCCAAGCTGTGCCTCCTTCCTTCTGGTTGCCGTAAATATACATAACAATCCACACTATCCAGATGGCCATGGAGAGAGAGGTTGTGAGAAGAATGAAAATGGCATGTTTCCTCCAGTGCTTGTAGTGGCCACACAAGACCGGCCAAGCAGCCACAAAGGTAGCTACTTGCAAGAACATGACATAGATGAGGGCCATGACAAAGTCTTCATTGCTGACAGTGCAGGGGTCCTTGGATGCATTGTCACTCCGTACTACAGTGATGATGAGCCATTCGGTGTTAATGATGACTTCTACCAAGACCAGGACCAATGCCATGCCAAAGGTGATCCACCCCCGCGGGCCATGATTGCGCCGGGCAAGGAAATTGAGGTTGACAGTATGGGCTGCCAGACAAGAGAAGCAGATGGCAAAGAGGACACCAAAAAGGAAACGTCGTGAGGCACATGTGGGGAAATCTTGCTTGACGATGAAGGTGAAGGTCAAGCAGAAGAGCCCAAAGGTGCCCAACAGAAAGAAAGCTTGAGTCCCTACCAAGCTCTTCTTCCGGTAGTCCTGGACAAAAGGCATGCTGGCCACTAAGACAACAGTGAGCACAAAACTGGTCACAACACCAAAAGTGGCCACAGCTTCCAAAACAATGCCCCAGGCTATTGATAGGTCACAGAGATTGTAGTAGATGGGGTTCAAGTCCTTACCACACCCTGGTGGTGGTGGGAGAGTCACCTGAGCCAAGCACATTTTGACAGGAAGTGCCAGGAGCCAAAGGCAGGGCAATATTGTCCTGGGTGGAGACCCCATGGTTGGAAGGATGCGAATTATTCCTTGGGACTTTGGGAAATTACTAAACAACATTAGAAAGAAAAAAATATGTTAGGATCCATAAGACAATGCATTTTTTTTTACCTTTTAAAAATTAAAATATATCATCATTTTTTTTACATATCCTTTCATATACATAAGAATTTTGCTGTTTTCATATTATCTTCTAGTTCAATGTGTAAAATATAATGTAATAGACTAAGATTTTAAACATGAAATCCCCATGTTAGAATTTTCTTTTCTTCCAGAAAATATTTGAAGGGTTCCCAATCTTTCTTGAATATTGAAGATATCCTGTCAAAATGTCAATTTCTGCTACTTCAGCTACTTTTACTATCTTTTCTTCTATTTTTGGTGTTTCTTCTGCGTATATACAATTCTTGCTGCGGTTGTCATCAGAATGAAAAGTCTGTCATATGACTTTAAAAGTGATCTACTGGGCATAGCGGAAGACAATGCATTTTTGACAGAATGTTATAGCTTTCAGCTGGGTGACCTTGGTGAGTCATATACTTTAAACATCAGAAAACCCTGTGATAAATTTGCTTTGGGGGTTTCATAAGTCTGAAAAGACTGGAAGGCATACAGCAACTTTTTTACTTCCCTTGGCAGTGCATTTCTATATAACAATGGTATTGTTAATCTGTAGCCTCCTTCTAAACAATACTAGGCTCCACCAAGCTTAAAGAAACTAGCAGTATCACCCTGAATTAACCGATTCAGATAAAGAAACTATCTGACAAGTTTTCTTTAAAGGAGAGGGCCTATAGTACATGCTGTACTGGAAAGCTGGATCATTTTCACACTGTTTAATTAGTTGACCCTCCATATTTGTGGGCATTACTTTTGCACATTTCACTATTTGAGTCCACTTAAGAATAGTAGTGGATTTACCATGGTATAAACAAACAAACAAAAAAGATGAAATGCTAAGTTTTGCCAGAATTTGGCCCTACAGTTGGACTGGAGAACCTAGGGCAATGGTTCTCAACCTGTGGGTCCCCAGATGTTTTGGCCCACAATGCCCAGAAATCCCAGCCAGTTTACCAGCTGTTAGGATTTCTGGGAGTTGAAGGCCAAAACATCTGGAGACCCATTGGTTGAGAACCACTGACCTAGAGATTCCCAGAGAAGTGTTCTGTCAGGTTAAAAAAGCATTTCAGATCCTCTGAAGATGCCATCCACAGATGAAGGTGAAATATCAGGAGAAAATGCTGCTACAAGGGTTGAATAAAAAGTAATGCCTCCACCTTCATAACTCAACAGATGGCAGTACTGATATGTGGCAGGTACTGGCTTGTTCAGTAGACTCTCCTCTACAGTTCCATTTTAGTGGGAAGCCTTAGCATTGAACGGTTGTGTTGTTAAAGTGTGAAGTATGGAACCCTGCGCAGACAGTCGGTCAATGCATCTTAAGCAACATGCAGTCATTTAATTCTTGACAGCAGAAGGTGTCACCTCAATATCTTTAAACTTACTCACCCAATGATGCACAGTACTCACATCAACATAATCACCATAAACAGCTTGCATTCTCTGATGAATCTCCTTTGGGTGACACCTTCTGCTGTCAAAAATTCAATGGCTGCACGTTGCTTAAGTTGCACCGACCGAACGACTGTGCAAGGTTCCATATTTTGCACTTTAAGAACACAACCATTCAACACTAAGGCTTCCCGCCAAAATGCAATTGTAAAGGCGAGTCTACTGAACAAGCCAGTACCTGCCGCATACCAGTACTGCCATCTGTTGAGGAGTTACGAAGGTGGGGGCATTACTTTTTAGTCAATTCTCGTAGAACACAGCCATACAGCCCAGAAACCACACAACATCCCAGTGATTCTGGCTGTGAAAACCTTTGACAATACATTTTTTAAATTCTCATTTTTTTCACATTTTCTGGGTCCTTGCACTCTAAACCCCAGCAAATGAGGAGGGCTGACTGTACAGTCCTTTGATCGCACTCTAATTGCCATGCTTGCACTTTACAAAACCCTGGGATTTGTGGTTACTGAGGCACTAGAGTTCTCTTTCAGAGAATTCTAAATAGCTCTCAAAACTGCAATTCTGGATGGTGCCTCAGCAGTCAAAGTGGCATCCAAGTGAAATAGTAGTGTAGAGTAGAAAGAGACTGTAAAAGGCCTTGCTCAAAGTCACTCACCACCATCAGCTCATTGGATCCTGGAGGTAAAAGTTTGCTATCATGAACTAGTGGCTTGAACTTAATACCCTCCTTTCTGCAAAGGTAACTGTAATACAACAAGGGATAATAGCATCACTCCTGTTATGGCGCAATAGTCTTTTACAATCGCATGAACTTCATTTAATGACTGTCCCATAGTCCACACACTGATCTGCTGCTTGATCTCTCATGCAGGTTGTCCACAAGATAAACAACTACTAAAAACACTCTTAACTACAAGTCAGCAACCTGCAGGGATATTTTTTAAAATGCCTATTTCGGGTAAGCACTACTGTTACAGGAAAGCTGTATCTATAATGGTAACTAACTTCGGAGTGCGGGTGGGGGCTGGCACTATAATTACTTTTTTCAAAGGAGCTTATAGAAGGAACTTTCCATGCTGTGGTCTAGAGTGGAAGTGGCTGGGAGGCAGTTTCTTCCCTTTCAAGAAAACAGAGCTCGACTGGTGAGAAGGACTATTCATAAAGAAAACTGTTTCTCAAAACAACCACGGTTGGACTATTATAGTACCACTAATACTTATTTATTAATCAGACTGCCCACCCCCAACTGCACATATGCTCTGTAAGACATTTCCCAGACCAGCCACGTTCCCTTAAGACAGAATCTGACAGTATGTTGGCTACCACTCAACGCTTCATAGTTCCCAGGCTCAGAGGACACCAGATGACTTTGGAAGGAGGGGAACACTCTCATTCTCCCTCGCCCCTCCACATCTCTGTCTCACGCGGCCTCCAAATCCCCTTGTTCTGCAGCCTGGATAAAGCTAGGCTCTGCTTCTGGGGATTGGGGCTTTAGACCTCAGCATATGAGAGCTTGTTTTGTTTTCTGCTCCCTTTATTTAGGAAGGCACCTCCCTACATTACAAGCCACAAATGCAGACACACGCTCCTGAACATGGGTTGGATTGGATTCCTATTGCAAAGTGATCAGTTTGGATTACCTTTACCACTAGGATATCACCAGGATACCAAACCCTGCAGTCCACACATACCTAGGATATGACACATTCTGTGTTCCTAAAAGCATGTCTACCGCTCCAAGGGAAAAGGTTAAGAAGAATCCCTCTTAGCTGCTCCTATTGAAATATCTCGGTCTTGTTTCATTACCACTCTGTTTGTTCTCTGAACTCTACAGCCTCAAACTTATTATTTAACATTCAATTCATATTTAATAATATTTAACATTCAATTCATAACAAGTTTTCTACATTGCTGTGGTCTGACTTAAAGGCAAATATATCATGGGGTTTTCTAGGGCTTATACCTGAACATAATGGAGCCGCGGTGACGCAATGAGTTAAACCCTTGTGCCAGCTGAACTGCTGACCTGAGGGTTGGCAGTTCGAATATGTGAGACAGGGTGAGCTTCCATCTGTAAGCTCCAGCTTCTCATGCGGGGACATGACAGAAGACTCCCACAGCATGGTAAAACATCCGGTCGTCCTCTGGACAATATCCCTACAGACAGCCAATTCTCTCACACCAGAAGCAACTTGCAGTTTCTCAAGTTGCTTCTGACATGATAAAAAAACTCTGAACATTAAGAAGAACTTCCTGACAGTGAGAGCTGTCCAACAGTGGAACTTTCTGCATCAGAGTGCTGTGGAAACTCCTTCTTTGGAGGCTTTTAAACAGAGGCTGGATGGCCATCTGTCAGAGGTACTTTGTGCATTCTACATGGCAGAATGGGGTTAGACTAGATGGCCCATGTGGTCTCTTCAAACTCTATGATTGTATAAGAGTGTGCAACTTGCCCAGGGTCACTCAGTGGGTTTTCACAGTCAAATTAGGTGTCCAGAACCTGCTTTTGTCATCCTTGTGGGACAGTGCTGTCCAGCCTTTGGCCCTCCAGATGTTTGGGCCTCCAACTCCCAGAAGCCCTAGCCAACTTGTCCAATGCTCAGGACTTCTGGGAGCTAAAGTCCAAAATACCTGGGGAACCAAAGGCTGGCCACCACTGTTCTAGATGAAGAAAAGATTTCAAGCTATCCAGGACTTTGGGGCAGCTTTACTCAACCTGGTGCCCCCGAGATCTGATGCACTACAACACACAAACCACTTGGGAAATCCACATACATTCCCCTAACTCCTGTGGTGCTAAAAAGTGGAATAGAAATATCCCAAATAAAACATAATTCAGTGAATTTCCCAGCTGTTGCTGCCTTTTTGTTTGCACATTGAGCACTTTCTCCCCTCCTCTCATGTGGAACAACACACAGAATCACGTCAGCATTAACCACTGCAGTCTCCTACCATAGAAACCCCAGTGGGAGCTATTACAGAGAAGATGCATTAGGGATTACTCATGTTAACATTACTGCTGATTCACTAGAAATTTACCCTAATAAGCTTCTTCAGTCTATAGATGGTAAAACAGCTTAGCTTTCATGCGTGTCCCCTTAATTCAGTCTCAAAGATACTAGAAAAAGAAAGATGTTGCTTAAATTAGTTACTAGCTCCCCAGTCCTTATTTGCACAGATGTTCAAAACACAACTCAAGAAATACATGGAGTGGGAGCATGTGAGCCATAAGCCAACCTCAAGAGCCAATTTATGTAGAAATAAGTAAAGAGTTTACAGATTCAGAATGCTCCAACCAACAAGAGGTTTTGGTATAGTTGGAATTAAAATCAAAGGAACTACACATTTCACAATAATCTTTCAGCCATCCCAAACTACATACCCATACATATAAGGACTTTATCACCAAAAGCTGCTAAAGTGCAATTACGGCAGAATAAAAAACACTAATTGAGGAGTCTTACTGCATGATGTCATGGCTGTTCTGTAGTTGAATTGTGCTTGGATTGTAAATTG